TAGGAGAGGATGTGCGAATGGCAGGAAGGGAGTTCAGGAGGAAGCGACCGAAGAAGAGAGACGGACTTTATGTACACGAGACGGTGCACGGATATACGGCCCGTATTACAGACTGCTAGTGCACACTTGCCGGGTTTTATAAGGCGCTTAAAATTTTATTCGTTATAAAATTCCCATCTTCTCCTTCCTCTCCCCCACCGTCGCGCCAGGTTGTTTCCCTCCCCGGATGCGCCCTGCGCAAAATTTCGTGGAGTCGAAGGGAGTAACTTTCGAGTGGCTCCCTTCAATCACTGCACGCTCAAACCAGTATAACAATTTACAACGTAACTAAGTTATCGTTCGGTGAGTCACTGAGTAAGATCTAATCTGAAGAGATTATTTTTAAATGTTGCACAGATTCTAAGCTTTCTAATTATTATATCTTCGACATTACGGATTAAAGTTATTTTTTATCGAAGACATAAAGATTATGTCTTCTATAAAATATTTTTTATAGAAGACGTAAAGATTATGTCTTCGATAAAAAAAAAATCGACTGTATTATTCTTAAGACGCACTATATTAATTTTCGCGCTTGTACATATTTCGTACTCGCAAAAAATGTTACGCTTGAAGATAATTTGTGTATACGATAAAATCTATCGTGACAAAGTTGAATGGTATGCGTACTACGTAAGGAAAGATAGTAAAATTCAGATTTCCTTTGGAAACAGTTTTATAGCGCGAGAAGAAATGAAAAAAAAGAAAAAAGATCTAAGCTGTTCCCGCCGCGACGCATTGTTACTGAGTTATATTCGAGCGACTGCATCTGAATTCGACTTAATTTTCCGAGGAAAGAGATTAAGTGTGAATGGATGGCGAGAACGATAACGAATGCTTTTTGAAAGCTTTTAAAACGTTCACCGTTGTTGTCATTATAACTAGAATTCGCCGATGCTTGAGAAATTTTCTATACTCATAATTATATAGTATATTTTAAGATGAAGAAAAAAGAGACACATATCTTTCTACAATAAATATAATATCTATGATAACAAAATCAATTTATATAATTTTTAGATATATATTCTAATTTAGTGAAATCATATATATCGATAAACAAAATTTTCTAAAAAAAAAAAAGAGTATATCATTTTGTAAAAATAACAATTACTCAAGATTGTCGAGAGCCACTTTAAATAACTGCAAGCTCCAGTTTTTACGGCTTCATTGTAATTCTAACAAGCAATTGACAAATTTATTGTCCAAGGAATGGGCAGAGCTCGTTGTGAACTGCGATCGTTTTAATTTCTAATAATAAAATTAATTATGGAGAGATATACTCTCTTCTCCTCAAGGACTTGACCCGACCTCGATCCCTCTCGCGCTCGCTTTGCTCTCCTGGATCTCGGGAGGGCGACCGCGTCCCTTGGGTTGCAACCAGTTTCGAACAGTTCGACGGAAACCAGTCGAGCGAGAGGAAAAGAGCGGGAAGAGAGAAGAGGAGCGCTCTCGTTCGCAGAAGGGACTTACGGACACTTGGCCGCTCAATGGCGCGAATTTAAGAGCGCCAGCCGTTACGCTTCTCATTCGTTAGCATAAATTAATTATTTTTTCAGGGATGCGGCAGAGCGGAGGGAGAGGACTCTATAGCCAGGGGCGGTCTGGCCTCGCTAAAGATCCCAAGCCCCGGACGCGTTCGTTGCTTGATGGCTTGTTGCTCGGGCGCGCGGAAATCGAGACGCCGCATTGCGGACCTCACGGTTGATTGTCCTCCGTCAGGACGTTAAGGCCCATTAAATAAAACGCGTATATCTGTAGACGTACTGCAGCCGCCGGCAGATTCTTCAATGGACTTACACTCCCCATCTTCGTTTAGCGCAAATTTGATAAAAGGCAATTTCTTTTAATTCTCGACATTAAATATAATCCAGAATTAAATACAATTATTGAAATAATTGAAAATCTATTAATTAAATTGAGGTCTGTCGATAACTGAGAAATGAAATTTATAAAATCTTTCATTCTTGACGAGAATAATGCGAAAGTTACTGTCCATCTCAATGTTTAAATAATTATTAAAATTGTCAGTATAGTTCGAAGTGTCTTTGCCAAAAAACATTTAGCCTGCACAAATGAAATTGATAGTAAATATTATTTCAACTGTAATATTATCAATGTATTATATCAAGCATATAAATTAGAGCTTCATTAAGAGAAGGAATTTTACGTCTTACATTTGAAATCTGCCGGTGGCACGAATCTCGATAAAACTCTCCGACAAAATTAACGGTTTACCTGCGTGATTCAAACAACAAATTGAAACACACCGAATTAGCGCGATCGTGCGACATATCGCTTTCGAAATCGTAGTGGATAGGTTTTGAGGTCGCGTCCATAGTTCGTGCGCGCACAATAAGCGAAGTGGGCTTAGATTGGGCTAATTAATTAATGCGCACGTCCTGTCTCATCTCGTCTAATTATCCCGCTTGTCAGCTCTAGTACTGTCGTTCGCTACGCCGTTAATGCGTTGCCTCTCCGTTCCTCGCTCCGGCCGCGTCTCTCTCGCTCGTAATTATAATCGGGCTAATTGTGACGTCAGACAGGAAGCTACACCTAGAAAAATCCATCTGACGTACGTACGCGGCTCGCAAGATGCACACATCCTTCGATCATCTCCGGGATTGTGATATCGATCTGACGCGAGGCGAGATAAGTCGTTCGGATAATCTAAATTTTGTTTGCAAATCACTTATTGCAAATTTATGCAACACGAATACGCCCCTTTTTATCGTAAAGGAAACTAATTAATTGACTCGACTTTAGCGAGCACTTAGAAATTTATAATAATCAGTATTTGATTAGTTAATTATCATTTTGCCAATTCCACAGATTTTCTTTTATAAATATAATTTATATTCCTATGAAAATATCATTAAGAATATTTTCAATTTTTAAAAAACATCTTGTATTAATATATTTTAATTTATATAATTTCTCATATTTTAATAAATATATTAATATCTTATATTAATATATTCTTTATATTTTATTTATATATATATATTAATATATTGTATTAATATATTTCAATTCATAAACTATATAATATTTTGCTAAATAATAATATTGATTTTTAATTATAAAATGATATCATGTTTTTTAAAAATTTTATAAAAATATTGAAAGATATCTAATAAATATTCTATAAAAATAGAAAAAAATGATATAAAAATGTATTGCGTTCTCGAGACGTCCTATATAACGTATTTATATCCGGCACAATAATATATACGACGTTATCTCGCTCGTTGCCCCGCCGATCGAAAAATTATTCGACGTCGAGGATAGAGCGTTCGCATTTTCCGCCACGTAGTTTAGCCGTGTAGATAATTAGCGTTACTGCAGGCTCTCGGATGCGCCTCTTCGCAAATAGCTTCGAATCCTCGCGGTTCATTAATTTCGAAGAATCCACATGCCCGCAGCCGTTCTCTCTCGCGACTCGACGGAAGCGTTATGGATCGCAGTAAAAGAGAACCGTCTCTTTCCAGCCTCCGGTGGTAGGCTCAAATTTGAATTGACGAGCGCATCGATGATGGCACGATGGGAAAAAAGCAGCGATGCGTATCTAGCCGCTCACCGTTTGATAGTTATGTGCGTAACAATAGTTATACAGGGTGTCGCTTTCACAGACCTCAATTATATTACTTATTCCAAAATTCGTGAAGAAAATTGTGGAGAAATTAGGAAAAAGGACAAATATTGCATGTATATAATTATTATGTTTTTTCATGTTTTTAAATATAACTTATATAAGACTTTATAATTAAATTTAAATATATTTTATTTACACATATGTCTGCGTACATATATTTTTCTTCATTAATTTTTTTTATTTATAGTAATGAAATGTGTATTCTAGCACAAAGTATGCCCCGAGTATTTATCCATTATCTATCTGATAAATGCAAATCGAGAATTAGCATCGCGATTGGAAATTTCTATTGAATTACCGAGAATTCCACATACGAGATGTTTAACGATTATTATAGTAAATTAAAGCGGGATAAGATAGCGATACGGCGCGGCGATATTTTATTTTAATTTAAAATTACGCCCGTGATAATGCCACGCCCACGTTCACCACTTGCCAACTGGTCGATGCGTATGGTGCACATACGTGCGTGTGTATACGTAACATACTAACATACACGTATGGGAATGCATATCGAGTAAGTACGCCGCGCCGCGCGTCTTCGATTCTGCGAGGTGCCTGGAATTTGAATGAATAAGCACGGATCGCGGCGCAAGTCGAGGGAGAAATAGTGGAAAAAAGGACGACCGCGGCGAAGAGCGAAAATGAATTATGGAGGAATGCGACGAAAGATGGTCCGCGCTTTTCGATCTGCTCGCGCGTTTTCCCATTGTTGCCGATAACAATTGACGTAAATAATTTCAAGAAGAAATAAATAAAACTATTATTCTCGTTAGACTGCAATTTTAATTCTTCATTAAATGTTATATGTATATATGTTGCAACGTGAAATTATAACAAAAATGAAATTTTGAAAATTTCAAAGAAAAATCTAAGCTACTGAATTGGACTATTTCGCTGACGTAACGATAATCGATGATTTTATATTTATAGATTTTCTTAAAAAATTTTGAGCGTTTAAAATTCACTAATATACTAAATAGAATTTACAAAATGAATACGTGTGTAAAAAATTCGGATTAAACAGTATTCTTTTGATCCTTGGATTATTGACAAATTATATTTTTTCCAATAAAGATTTAGAAATTTAAAAAGTATTATATAAATACGACACCTTGTATCTTTTGACACAAAACAATCAAAGATGACCGCTAGAAATATAACATGTGTACGTTCGCATACACGAGCAAGAATTTCGGCTTATAACGAGTTCTCAGGAAGCCCGATCTTCATTAGATTATTTCTTTTCTTTCATGAGAGATTGTAAAAGTGTGTTTATTATATAATTCAAATCATTGTTACTTACCGGCACGATGCGCAACAGCCGGGTTGTAGCACACAATGTCGATCTGTAAAATATAACAAATATATTTAGATTAAAATAATATCTAAAATAATATTTCGAAGACTAATTATATTTAAAAAAATTACAATTAAATTTATTTAAACAGATATTCAAGAAAATAATTTTCAAAAAAATCTTTAATTAAATTGTTATGAAACTACTATTTAAAAAATCTGATTCTTATATATAAATAATCCAAGTTATTATAAATCTCAACAACGTTGAACACAAAAGTATGATATAAACATTTTTTAAGAAACTCACGTGTTTTATATATTTCGAATTTGTCGTTTGAAAATATTGTCATTTTTTCTCATTTCTTCTTTTTTAAATAAATTTTTTAAATAAAAAAAAGAACAAGAGAATGACAATTTTTTTCAGCAGCTTTGCATGCTTCGAAGTACATAAAATATGAGTTTGAAAAGTCAGAAAAGACTCTTATATATTACATTTATCACTTTATCAATGTTATTAAAAAATGCAGTTTTAAACATGAAGAATTTATTTGACAGAAACTTGCCATATATTTATACTAGTGACACAAGGTATTGCATTGATTTTCTAAAACTTTCTGTTTAAAGAAATTACTTGAAACGAGATCAAATATATATTCCAGAGAAAAATAGAGAAGAAAGGGAGGGGAAAGGAAAAGAGAGAGAACGGAGAATATAAAAAATGTAAACAGAGTTAATATCTATTCAATATGACAATCGCCCGATGTTACTCTCTCTGTACACTCGATATTACAAGCTTTTACGGGCTACTTTTATTTATTTTTCGATAACGCAACATCATAATTCGCGTGTACCAGCGAGACAAGTAATTTTTATAAATCATAATATCGTACCGTAATATAATTATGACTGTAGCGGTCGCAGCATTAATTCCAGTGATGGGCACAATTTCGTCCTTACGATAATCACTAACACAACACTTTTTTCGGCATTCCCGATATATATTTCTCTCTCTCGCTATATCGCGCACTTTTACTGGGCGATATTACTTCTCTCGAAACTGCGTGGAAATCACGGAACTATCGAATTATCGCGATATATATATATAATATATATGTATCGTACCTACGCATAATAAAACGATCCCGTCCGCTTCTTTCGGCACTCCCGATATTATCCCGCACGTTTACTTACAGACGCGATTTTTATTCGCAATAACCTAAAATCGTAATTCGACGCGATACTTATGACTCGTAATATTTACGATCGACGGCCATCAACTGATTCCGTTTCTTCGGCACTCACGATATTCGTGCGCGATTACATCTGTACCACGGGCGTCCCGACGCCACGACATGACCGCGCACGACACACTGTACACTAGCTCGAAGACGGCTAAACATGTCGACTTCCGGTCTCATTAGGACCCAGATCCGATACCCGAGACTTCGATCTTATACCACGCGAGATATTCGTCAATCGTTGGTTTTAGTTTCTATCACACGTCATTACATCATCGCGTATATCAAATATAGAACGCGAATACACAAAAATTTTTGTCACTAACCACTGAGGATTCGTCGCAATATTCACACTAGACACTTGATTTATCAATCTCGATATTTTATACGATAGATTTTGTAGGTGACACAATGCTCGTAAAACCGACGGGAATCGTGGAGAGGTTAATGTAACCCTCGCGATAGTCTAAGCAACACTAACGATAAGCGGGGGAATCTATTCCAAAAACTGAGAGTTCGCGGCGCGCGAGGGGCCCGGGAGGGGGATTCTCGATAGCGACCCGGCCGCTTTGTTTATGTGTGTTCCGTATGACAGCGCTAGTGTATATACACACGCGACGAGCTAATTCGTGGATGACAAGGCGTATAATATTACATCGAATACACCGGGAATTTCACCGAAATGAGATAAGCCCCTGTTTCTCGAAAAGAACGGAACTAATAAAAGTGCAAAAAGAAAAACGGTGCATTCGGTATGAATCCTACGCGAATTTTCGATTACCCAGTAAATAAAATAAAATCTAAATTATATTACGAGTAGATCTGCCTACAATTTTATATTCTATGCAATATTGCTGTGAAGTTTTATAACTTTAATCTAGAGATTATAATATATATTAAGTCGTTATTTCTCTCTGTCTCTCTTTTACGTATATAAATTAACATTACATTAATATTTATTCGTTATTAAATATGTTCAAAAAATATATAAAATATAATTTATATAAAAAATATAAATCGTAATTTATATAAAAATATCGTAACTTAGATAATATTTGCAATCTTACCGTAATATAATTATAACAAATACAACTGACTGCACCGTTAATTACAATTGATTTTATTTATTGAATATATTCGTATAATCGATCGCAATTATATTTACGTCATAAATGTCCCGACTTTGTACTATACGTACTAACGTACGAAACACAGTGTAGCCAATCGGAAAGCGATAAAATTTTTCACTTCCAATTCCATTAAAAAGCACTATGGTCCGATTCCGAAATTCCGCGATGTATTACGCGAATTAAATATGTTCGTCGTTGCACTTGCGCGCCAATTTTTCATCTAGCGGAATTTCGAAGTCGAACCACAGTGTGCTCTGATGGAGGAATTGGAGGGAAGAGACAATTGTTTCGCCCTCGTTTACAATATATTTCGTGCGATTATTTGTGGCATCGAGACGTGAATGTATTATTGCGATCGGACACTGTGAGTATCGAAAGATCAATTAATGAATACCCTCGTTATGTCGTGTCTTTTCATTAATCAAGACGATCAAGACATTCTATTCAATGCATGTATGTGTGTATATGTGTTGTACTCCACAGTTTCGATACGAGTTGTGAATAAATTATTATATTTATCTCGAGACGAATGCTTACTGCGAAGCAAAATACATTTGAGTATCAATAAAACAATTATTACCTTAAATATCGCCAAGTGTAACAATAATTGAAAGAAACGATATTGTATTAGTCGTACGAACCATAATAAAACGATCTGTTAACGATAAGTACGACATCGCGCGCAAAATATGGAGGCTGTGATATTTAATTTCTCGCTGACATAATTGAAATATTTAACATGCCAAATTAATATCGTACATATATTGCTTTTATATTTCTCAAATGGATTAATAACAAAAGCTTGTATCGCTTATCGTTATTTGAAATATTTAATGCCGGATGTCTTTTATTATTTCGATCCGAAATTAGAAGCAATCCAAGCATCGTTGAAGAAACAATTATCGCACTTAAGACGGCGATAAAATAATGTTTCATAACGTATATCCTTGTTCGCGTTGATTCTTATTATTTGAAATATATGAATATCGCGAAATCTTTGTTTTGACCTGTAGCATGCTTACGTCACATGTAGCATGCTTACGTCACAATACTTGGCGCCCTGACTGTTTATACGCAGTCACCTTGTCATTCACGTGACGACACCCGAGCAGAGAGGTAACACAAAGATACGTGTAACGTCGTATTATTTCGCTAAATACGATCAGGTACGACACAGTACGTTAAATGCGCAAAACGCGATTATTCTCTACGCACAGATTATCTCGCGAATGATTAATTTCCGACGCTTCATAAATGTACCGAGATGACGTGTCGCATTATCCCTGGAAGTACATGATTATTACAATTGTCCACTCGCGTAATTAATTGATTTTCACGACTGTAATCGAAGACGTCACACTTATTTATGGAAGATAATTCGCGTTACTTATTCTCTTGATGTAAGATTCGAAATGATAAAAGACGAGATTATTATAAATTCTTGTTTCATTTGTGCGATACTTATGTGATTAATAATTGTTTTTCGAATGGTAATTGATTTTAAAAATGTGTTGCATGGCATTTGTCGTAGATTCTAAATAATTAATTTGCTAATCATTTATGGACCGAAAATAAAATATCGCTAATAATATATGAGTGATTCAACGAAAAAATGATAATACGTATCGTTCATTATTAATTTGGAAAAAAATTAACAAATAAATTCTCTTAAATTATAGAAGTGTACTATCATTAGAAAGCAGTGAATAATCAATTTTAATACTTGTAATTAAGATTTAATCATTGATAAGCTTACTTATATATTTACTGAAAAAATCAATTAATAATAGAGTAACTGTTTCAATTAGTGTGTGTGAACTTTGAATATACATTATATATATACACACACATCATATATACAATAAATATACAATATTTATGTATATTATGTAGATATATTTTATATTATATAAATATATTACATAAATTATATAAATATACTCACTGATTTTTTGATGAAATTTCATGCTGCTTTAATCAATGATACAGTTTTACTAATTCAATTTAAGAGAAGAATATTCTACATAAATTTTTATTTCTCGTGATTAAATATTTCGAAGTATTAACGCGAAATGATTCTTACACGCTATGTTTCACCTTGTATTTTAAAATGTTTAGTTCTCTATACGTTTCTGTTTATACGCGGTCACATTGTTGTCATTCGTATGGCAAGACTCGAACGGGCAGGTCGTTTCGTATATCGTTTTACTAGTCGAGAAATAATATCATTTCTTCTGATTATATTACAATCCGATTATATTACAATTAAAAATTAACAATTTATAAGCGTATCAAGCGTGTCGAAAGCTATTTATCATAAATTATAATATAATTAAATTCATGATTAAAGTGAAATATAATTAAATTGAAATATATATAACATCAATTTATATATACATATATATTTATATTAATCTATTTATATTAATCTATTTCAAGGTTTTTATATATTCGGAATGTATCACTCTTTCAATAATGAATTTCGAGTATATATTTTCGGTCTATATTGATAATTCATTACGTTTTAATTAGCTTATAATATTTGTTTCGCTTAGTATCGCGCAATATTAGATTAAAATTACGCTAACATCTTTCAAAATTTTTATTAATAAAATATTATGAAAATACGAATATATTTCAAGTCAAATAACATTGTTATGCATTATTTAAAAAAATTAA